GTTGCCACTTGCTCGTCATAAGTTTTGTTTGGATTTAGAAGAAATGTGGACACTCATTGCAGCATTATTCATGAGAACAAAAATGTGAAATAATCTACGTGGTTAAAACTCAGGGGTTGACTAAGTTATAGTATAGCTACATAATCACTTTATACTTCATGAAAATTACATTTTAGAGCATTTTATAAGACAGCAAAATGCACGCCTTATGTGAATAAAGCAAATTATAAAATAGTATGTGCAGTATGATTCAAAATTTGCTTTTAAAAAGTAAAAATTTGGCCAAAAAGCAATAGTATTTATTTCTGGGCATAAGGATTACATTTTTAAGTGTTTTTTTCTTATTTCATTTTTCCAAATCACCAAAAAACATGTGTTTAGTATAACAGTGGGACAAAAAAAAATCAATTCAATGTTTCTAAAAATAAGGTTAATTCTTACCAGAGAGCACATTTGAATCTTACGAGAAGATAAAAATTGCTTGGCCTGTTTTAAGGGCAGCTTTATCTATCCAGGAAGTGAGATATAAGGGCTGGAGTCTCTGTGGTTATGAAATTTGCGATAAACACGCACACATGGTGATTTTCGTTCTTTGGTTCTTTGTGTTTTCTTTTTTTCTTTGTTTGTATGTTTCCTTCTTTCTCTTTCTTTCTTTCTCTCTCTCTTTCCCTCCCTGCCTTCCCCCCTCCCTCCCTCTCTCTCTCCCTCCCTCTCTCTTTCTTTCTCTCTCTTTATTTCTTTCTTTTTGCCAGTCTGCAGTTTGTTTTCTTCCAACTCAGCGTATGGGGTTAACAACAATACACTGAAATTATGCCTTAGAATAAAGCTATGGTTTAAAGGTGCGAATTTCCACACTTTAAAGGAATAAGACGTAATGTCCCGTTATTGCCAAGTTAATGGGGAGGAAATCTACAAGAAAGTTTACACATTGCATTGTCTAGCTCCCATTTCTATTCCTTGATAAGCAACTTAACTTCCAATGACTTTTACTCTATGTGATAATAATAACAGATCTTTCAAATTGTTAAAGGGTTGATGTACCAAGATATCTGTAATAAATTATAATTTTAGGTTTATGACAATTCAAATGAGCAAATATGATGTTATTACACTATTAAAGCTGTTATTCATCTGTACTGTAAGATAACAAATTACGGCCCCTGGGCCAAGTGTGGTTCAGTGCCTCTTTTGGGACCATTTATGAGCTAATAATGATTTTTACATTTTTAAATGGTTGGGGAAAAATCAAAATAAAAGTAATATTTCATGAAATGTAAAAAGGAATATGAAAATTTCAGTGTTCGTAGTTTTACTGGAATACAACGATGCTTGGTTTTTTACGTAATGCCCAGCTGATTTCACATTATAATGACTTCTGGAAAGAATTGTGACAAAGAGCATATGGTCCTCAAAGCCTTAAATATTTATTGAGCTTTACAGAGAAAGTTTCCTTGATCCAGCCTTTTCGAGGTAGCTCTGAATATTCTTTGCATTTTCTAGCCTCAGCCGCTAGATGGCATAAAAGATCCTTAAGCCAGTAGGAAGAATAAACCAAAAACCAAAAAACTTCTGCCTTACAGAGGATATTTACATTTTCAATTAAGTCATTCTCTAAAAGGCAGTTCTTTCAGCAGTATAAAACTTTTTTCTATATGTGTTCAATAAACCAAAAATTAAATGTTTAAAACAAACTACGAAAGCATTAATTTAGTCTAGAAATAATGTCTGCACAGAAATTTAGCATTTATTCACTTCTGCCTAAAGTAAATATTATGTGAATATGCACTATTAAAGAGGCTCCCCTTTAGTCTGTAGGCTCCTTTAGGCTCCCCTTTTTGTCTGTACAAATCTTTGTACAGACACAGATTTACTGTGTCTGTACAAAGTTCTTCTCTTATTAGACTGAACTGCTTTTGTCCCGTTTCCAGGCTAACACAATCAGCTGAGCCAACTGGATTTAGAGTGAGGTAGACGGTGTGTGTGGGTGGGTATGGATGTGTGTATGCGGCATCAACTTTTACTTATTTTAATTGAATTTAAGTGGTCTTAGGATTTGACTAAATCTTAAATCTCTCTCTCTCTCTCTCTGTTAGCACTGTATAGACACAGTCAGCCACAACTAGTTTTAACACGGCCAATTTACACATCAATCAATCAAAGCAAGGCCACTGGGCCCTCCCACACATTCTGTCTTTATAATTTACTATCACATCAAAACCACATTATGATCTCTTGAAAGACGGATGCAAACTTGTATTGCTGTTATGGTAATATTATTCACGTTCTTTTAAATTTCAGGTTCCTCATTTCTCAACAGGAAAATGAGAAGCACTATGTTACCACTCAGAGGCACAGCAGAGAGAAATCTGGCACTGTCTTCACCTAACACACATCCTCTTCTACTGTTACAGTGGGTAGGTGGTCAGGCATGAGTAGGGCAGGAGAGGGTCCCTCTACCCACCAACCAGGAATGTCAGGAGACCATCAGGTGATGGTCAGGAGATTGTTACACTGTTTCTCTAAAATAATAATTGGTTGCAGCTGGGGCCAGGAGAAGGCGGTCTCCCAATACATAGAAAAAATGAAACAAAACAAAATATGATCAACAGCTTCTTGATAAGATCTCAGGAGTTGGGTGAGTGGGCTCAAGCACGTGCACGAAGAGGTAAAACGGCAGTTTAACTGGCATATGACCTTGTAGGAACATTTGACTGCTAAGGGAAGAATTCTTCAAGTAAGCTTGCACGCAACTCCAGTAGAAACACTGTACATGCAACCCCTCTCAAGGGCTGGCAGGCCACTGTGCATGGAGACAGCCCACTCCCAGGAAAGAATCAGGGAAAAAGGGACGCAAGACCCCGGAAGCATGCCTATGTATAAAACCCCAGTCAAAGGTCAAACCATGCCCTTGATTTCTCAAGTCGCCTGCTTAGCCCTCCTTCAAGTGTATTTCACTTCCTTTCCTTCCCGCTCTAAAGCTTTTAAATAAATTTTCATTCATTCCTACTGGAAAACTTGCCTCAGTCTCCCCTGCCTTATGCACCTCAGTAGAATTCTTTTTTCTAAGGAAGCAAAAATTGAGGTTGAAGCAGGCCCATGTGGATTTGCTGCCAGTAACATACTTTGGTGCTGCATGACTCAGATATGTTCCATTGAACATATCTCAGATATGTTGCCATTGAAATGTTAACACTACCATTTCTGTCCCCTTGCTTTTTCTGGACTGTCAATTATGAACCTTTCCCTATACAAAGAAAAGTTCAAATAGGATAATGGATAACCCCATATGGATCACCTAGTTTAAATAATTTTGTCTTCTCTCTGTTAACTATTCCTATGTGTATATCTGTTAATTATTCCTATGTATATATCTGTGTATGTCTGTATCTATCAATCTATTCTGTTTGTTGTTAAACCACTTGTAAGTTGCAAATATACAGCACGTCATTTCTAAATTAATTCACCGAGTATCTCCTAAAATAATGGTATTTTTTTGTCTACCCATAAAACCATCATACACCTAAGAAATCAGCAATAATTCTATATTCTCAGTTAATATACAATGAACATTGAAATTTCCCTGATTTAACCCCAAAATATATTTAAAAAATTTGTTGTTGAACCAAGATCTGATCGACAGCTGGGCTTCACACATGTTTATCTCATGTTCTCTCAGCTAGACAGTTACTGCCTCCACTGTTTATGCAGACCTCTTTTTCATGCTAATTTTTTAAAAGACCCATTCATTTGCCTTGCAGAATCCACACATTGAATTTTTTTTATTGTTTTTCTTGTGGAGCTATTTAAATTGTTTCCTAGCCTTTATATTTTGTGTAAATGGAATTTAGGTCAAAAGCCTTAACAATATCATGTTGTATATCTCATCTATTGCATCACACTGAGAGGTGTGAAATGTTGAGCTATCTCATTTTTGATAATGTTTATTTCAATCAATTCCTCAAGGTATTGACCACACCTTTGTAAAGATGTTATTTTTTTCTTTGCAATTAGCAAGCATCAACAGGGGTAGACTTTGTCATTATGCAACCACCACAACCTTTTGAGTAATTATTTCAGATGTGGCCATAATAGAACATTTCATTAAGGACTGATGCACAGTAATTCTCTAATTCTATTATCTCTTTGCCTATCATTATTTAACATCATCCTGTACGGAGGAGTTTTCTCTCATTCACTGAGAATGACTTATTTAACAGTCAAAGTAAATGCTGGATTCTTTACCTTTAATTCTCATTTTCATAGTAAGGATTTGGTGTAATAGTCATCTCCAAACTGAGTATTCGATGTTTCTCTCTCCCTTTCTCTCTCACATAAGGGACTTACATATTTTCATTTTTATTTCTTTATTTATTTGTTTTGAGACAGGGTCTCACTCTGTCACCCAGGCTGGAGTGCAGTGGTGTGATCATGGCTCACTGCAGCCTTGACCTCCCAGGCTCAGGTGATCCTTCCACCTCAGCATCTTGAGTAGCTGGGACCACAGGTGTGTGCCCTCATGCCCAGCTAATTTTTTTGTAGAGGTGGGGTTTCACTATGTTGCCCAGGCTGGGACTTTTAAGTTTTTATAGTTAGTTATTGTTTCTGATGCTCAATTGATTCTAGGATATTGGGCCCATGAGATGCCTTTCTAGCTGGATGCTGTGGCACATCCTTACTGGTCTTTGTTGCAAAATGTTCTTCCTGGATCTTCGTCCCCAGCTAAGACTCTATGTCTGTTTTATATCTGCCCATGACAGCTCCCTATCCTCCTACATCCCAGCAACATCTCCAACTGAGGAGACCACTGTCTTCCTTCCAGACTGTGTCATCTAATACAATGAAAGTGCTAGACTGCCTCACCCACCCCCACAAAATCTTTACTTAACACAGCAATTGCCTGCCATCAAGAATACTCCCTGTAAATTCACAATGCCGGACCAAGATCCCAAATACATAGGGGAAACAACTTTTCTTTTAAATGCCATAAGAATTTCTCTTACCTTGCATAGTAGTCATTGGGTGGAACTGCTTCTTGAAAGAACTGGAACTGGTATAAATAAAGTCCAATCAAATGTCCAGCAGTGAAAATAGCCAGCAGAACACAGAGACAGCTGAATAGCAATGGGTCAAACGTCCGGCACCAGGACCACCAGGTGCACAGACCCAAAAATACAAAAAAATACACAGATGACGTCAAAGATGGCAACATCATACCTAAGGAAAAGAAACATAATCACAGAAAGTCAGCTCGAACTGGAAATTCACTTATCATTCAGTGAATGTGACTACTGGAAATTATGTGACTTTCCTTCGTGTGTTTTAGGTATTTTGAAATAGTAATTTTTAATAATCATATTTCATTTATGTAATAAAAATTAATGCTATGTTTATTGTGAAAAAGTCACATAAGAAGTGATAATTTTGTAAATACAAGGATATACCAGATGATTAAAAAATTCCACCTGTGGTGTTTGAACGAAGTAAATATCTATTTTTCTTACCAGTAGCATTTGCACATTTACTTGCCTGTTTCCATCTTTCTACTTCTCCCACATTTTCAAGATTTCATGTACCTGTGTGTCTATTCCAACCTTTCCTGACACTATTTTCTTTATAATAATTTACTCCTTTTATTTTTTAGTTAACTAGTACATCATGGCCAGTTAAACTCTCAGCATGTCCTGCTAATTTTTATTTTATTTTATTTTATTTTATTTTATTTTATTTTATTTTATTTTATGTACAGATGGGATTTCACCTTGTTGCTTTGGCTGGTCTTGAACTCCTGGGCTCATGTGATCCTCCCTCCTTGGCCTTCCAAAGGGCTGGGATTACAGGCATGAGCCACTGCTCCTGGCCAATAACTCCTTTAAAAGTGTTTTAAAGAAATCATAAATAAAGCCATCATCTTAAGACAAAAGGAGTCTGTTTTATTGGGCATTTTCAAATGACTCCTCATTAAAATGTTGTGGTTTATTTCTTGAGAAATTCTACTGTCTTTCCCCCCATTTTTTCCCCTATTAAAAAACAGCTAAGTTGCTACATTTTTGCAGCTTGCTTGAGTCTAATATGCCCCTCGTAGCTCTGGAGCAGTGGTGAGCAGTGGAATGGAAGGAGGGAAAAGATCAAGATAACATTATTATGGAATAAGTGGCCCAAGGCCAAAATTTAAAGGAAGTGAGCGTCTGTGTTAGAAGATTACAATCTAACTTAGGAAGAAAAATAGTCTATCCTGGAGAGTTATATTAAGGTGACTGTGGACTCATGTAAACAGACAGGCCTCCAGAGCCCACAATATGGCTTGTGATGCATACACACACATTGTTAACTGTAGCAGGTCACCATTCCAAAGCTCTAAGGAAGAGGATTGTTGTTACTCTAACCTAAACCTAGAAAATGGGTTTGCTTAGCATATATAGAAAAGATTATTTTGCAGAGGTTAACAGAAACCATCTAAAAACATCAAAACTAGAACTGAACAGGAAAAATTATTTTGTGTGGTTTGTACATGTGGCCAGTTTTACAAGAGCTACAGTTATTATTTTCATGTTGCGGTATAGATTGTTTCCTTCATTTTCTCTTCAACCATTTCTCACATTCACCAAAGCTCTGCTTGTGCCTTTTACGACATGCAGCCAGTGTGGGAGACACTCACCCGAGGAGCCCAGTAAGATGGTAACAACGACTTTCCCAGCAGTGGTGATCATGTTGCCAATGAACTCCTTGAGCTTGGAGGCCACAGAGGCAAGCCTGCGGAACATTTTTAACTTTGTGCTTTCTTCCAACTCGCCTTCAACACCATCTCCTCCATCTAAATCCTCTTCATAGATCAGTGCCTCTTCTGAATCAATTTTTTCCCCTTCAGCCTAAATAAATGACAAACAGGGAACACTTGAGTCCAGGACTCTGCCTATCCAGCCAGCAGATTATAGAGCTTCTGATTCATGGGTCAATACAGTGAATTTCACAGATCGGGAAGAAAAGGCAGACAACCAGTTCATTCCCCCCAGGTCTCTGATAATCTCTATATAAGCCCAAGTAACTTTGATCTTTCTTGAAGAAGTAAACGTAAACAGGAAACATCACAATTATAGGGTCTCTAATAACATGTCATGTTCCCTATTTGTGCTTATTTTTTTTAATAAGCAAAGAAGAAACTGTCTGAAACATCTATTAACAAGTTTAGTTTAGATCAATCTGGATTTGGGGCTTCAAATTTACAGAGTTGGCCACCAAGGAGATAGGAGGTTTGATAAAACTCTCATGGCTTTGACTGAAGCCACAGCTTTGACTGAAAGGGTGGGGGCAAACAGTGCTTAGGAAATTCTGTTTCTTTCTGAAGTTTATCTTTGTTCGCTATTTCCACATTTCCTGACTGTGGAAGAATGAGCGGTCTTGAGTTTCTTGGCTAAATATAGAGCTGCTTCCTATCTTATCCTTTCAGAGACACTGGTTCAAGCCTGGGCAGCTCAGCACCTCAGTGCTATCAGCAGGGATTTAGGGAGTAAACACATGCACCAGCACATATGTAGATATCCACATATTATTTTAAACTGTGTATGCTAAGGCATTTTTGCTTGTTTTGCATTTAAAAAATAAAAAATAAATGGGGAAAATTTTGGCTGATTAGAATATTTCCATAGAAGTATTAGGGCTTAAAAAAATAATAATAAATAAAGCCATCACCTTAAGGCAAAAGGAGTCTGTTTGAGAGGCATGAAACTGTGTGTGTATTTTTCCCTAGGCCGACAGACTTCATATCTTTAGTCTCTCACAGAGCTAAGAAACTATTGTTAAGCCCAGTTCAGGCATCTATTTAAGACTTAAAGAGAAGGGTCTGGCCTCTCCATTTTCCCGTTTTTAATGATTCTTTTTTGATATATTTAGTTCAGATATTTACTCACTGATGGTGTCTGACTCCTCACTACGACCAAGTTCACAGGAGGAAGGCAGGCACTGGAGAGCCAGTGCCAAGTTCAAGTTAAGCATGGAGTGGCCTTCAGGACTCAGAGGCCTTCTGTGTGCCTAGGAGGGTGCACACAGTAGGTGACTGGAGTTGACTGTTGATGAGCCAAGGCTACAGGAGGCACCCAGCCAGGTCTCCACCCACCTACACACACCCCCCCCCCCCGACACACACACGGATTTAATCCTGGGACACTTCAAGTTGACTTCTACTGAATTTCATTGTGCCGTATTTGTATTATTTTTCCTGAAGAAAAAGGAATATCTCATGCTCAATGAATAAGATTTTTCTATCCATACAAGTCCTAGTGTGTCCTAGCATCTACAGGAAGAGATATAGCAATAAACATGTAAACAAGTGTTTATTAACCAGCTAAATATTTCACAGTAATAAATGCTATTCAGAGAAGTCGAATAGTATCATGTGATAGTGATAAGCTGTGTGGCTGTTTCCGATTCAGAGGTCAAGGAAAGCCTCTCTGAGTAGGTGACATTTAAGTTAAGATCCGAATGTCACAAAGTTACTAGCCCTATGAAAGTCCTGGAAAAGAGCATTCCAGGTGGAGGAAAGAGCTGGTCCAAGGCTTCGTGGTGTTTGCAGAAAGAAAGTGTCCCCAGGCCCGTGGCTACTTCCACTCCCCTAGAGAACAATTCCCACCTAATTCTCAGAGGATCACCTTGCTTTCTACTGCTCCCAGAGAGGAGCTGCCAACTCCAGCCAGTACATCAGACCACCCACCTGCAGCCAGCCTGCCATGCACACACTCTGCCTTTCTCTTGTAACAGGATGAGCTGCATGTGCTCCAGCCTCGGTGACTGCATCCCATCTGCTCAGGATACCAGGGAGAGAACAGCCCAGCCATCCTGGCTCTCTCTCCCGCATCACAATGTGCTTGCTTTCTCCTGGATCACCCCGTTAACAGGCAAGGGCACCTTGCTGTCTCACCTTAGAGAAGCACACCCTTTCAACCCACATTTGTCTCTTAAGGTGAACCTCTCCAGAAGAGTGCACTAGACTCACCACTCCATTTATGGTAAAAATGCTCCCATACCTAATTTCTCTTGAACCTAGTCGAATCAGACTTTGATCTCCAAACACTCCGTCTAATGAGAGGCACACATAATTTGCTTTGCCACATAACTCTAGTTGCTGCCTGGGGTGGAGCAGAGGGAGGCAGCAGCAGGGAGGTTATGTCTGTGCTGGAGGAGAGGGGAGGGAGTGGTGGGGCTGAAGTGAAGATCCTGTCTTTGAAGTCTATTTTGGAGGTCAGATTAGTAGGACCAGCTAGAAAGTTTAAAGTGGGAAGGAGGGATAGAGGAGAATCAGAGGCGGCTCCTCTATTTTTGTTTTTATTGTATTACGAGGACAACCAGGAGGGAAGCAGGTTGGAGACTGAGAGTCCACATTTCTGTTTTGAAAATTCATTTCTGAGACTCCATTCAGGCGTTCTTTTTGGAGATGTCCAGTAGGCAGCCAGTACAGGGGTCTGGAGTACTGGAGAGGGGCGGGAGCTGAAGAGGGCTCTTTGAAATGTGCCAGCATAAGACGGTTTTAAGGTCAGTGACCTAATGAAGTTACCTGGAGGGAATATAGAGATGGCCTCCCTCCAGGTGTTAATGCCCCTGAGACCACTCAGCCTTTCCAGGCTTCTGTCATCTCCTTGCCTGTCAGCATTCCTTGCAAGAAATGACTAGCAGAACCCATAATTCACAGACTCTCTTTGCCTCTTTGCTGTGGGACAGGCTGCCTCCCGCTACCCCCGCATCCCTGGGATGCCTTCTCCAGCTCCTGAGGACTGGATCCCAGGGCAGCTCTTCCATTCAGCTTACTCCATCTCCCCACAAAGAAATCCACCCACCAGAGCTATCCCAAAGACACTCACATCATTATCAACACACAAACAACCTGCTCATCAGGCATCTGTTGCTTCTTTCTCCATTACAACAGGTGAGCAACATATTAAAAATCTCCCTCTAGGAAGGAAGTTTGGCCAAAACCTTTAGTCACTGCACTTGAAAAAGAAGCAAAAGAAAGAACACAGCCAGGGTTGCCTGGATCACAGTCAGAAACACACCTGTGACTTTCATAATAAATGTGTTGTTATTCAATTATAGAATTGCTACTGGTGTAGATTAAATCAAATAGAAATCTCTGATCAAGATGCCTTTGTGAGGTTATACAAATGCATTTCCCTGACCTGTCTTAGGCAAGACTGGGACTTTGTGATTTTTATAAACATACCACTGTACTTAAGGTTTTTCAGCATTTTTATACAGAAATTCCTGGGGCTGTCAGTTGGAAATACTTTTTAAATTTGCCAAGCTGAGAGCCAAGAGCGAGACGGGTTAGACTCTGTGAGCCCCTACTGTCCTGGTAGGTCGGGGCCAGAACTGCCATTAGTCACGTCAGGCTGGCTTATTAACAGGCAGGCTTTTTTCCCCCAAGTGATTCTGCTGAAGTATAAACACTGACGCTCTGAAAGAGCATGGACTCACATGTTTACTAATAGGCAGTCTTGCTTGCTGGAGCTGTAAGCTGTCCCTGCATTTGAGCAAAACTTCAATCTGGCCTTGACGCTAAGGAGGAGGGCAAGCTGTAAATAAAGATTTAACTCCCTTGGTTCCTGAGCCATCTTAGAACCTGAAGACAAAATAAACTCTTTACAGTTTAAAAAGTCAAATAAATGATTACACAGATTATTGACCATGTCAAAATCTAAAACTTATTTAAAGACATTTAAGTCCTTTATCTTGCCTTTTTAAAAATTCCTGATTTCAACAGGAAATCCTGTTATTTGCAACAACCTGCATGAATCTAAAGAAGAGTATGCTAATTGAAATAATCCAGGCACAGAAAGACAAACAAGGAATGATCTCACTTATATGTGGAATCTAAAGACGTTGCACTGATAGCAGTAGAGAGTAAAGGGGTAGTTACCAGAGGCTGGGAAGGAGGCTGGTGACCTGGAAAGGGGAAATGCTGATCAAGGGGGTACAAAATTTCACTTAGACATGAGGAATAATTTGGGGGGATCTATAGTACTGCACGGTAACTGTAGTTATTAATGTATATTTCAAAATAATTGGCTAGGCTTGGTGGCTCATGCCTGTAATCACAGCAGTTTGGGAAGCTGAGGCAGGAGGATCACCTGAGGTCAGGAGTTTGAGACCAGCCTGGCCAACATGGTGAAACCACGTCTCTACTAAAAATACAAAAATTAGCTGGGCATGGTGGTGCACGCCTGTGATCTCAGCTACTCAGGAGGCTGAGGGAAAAGAATCTCTGGAATCTAGGAGGCAGAGGTTGCAGTGAGCAGAGATGACACCACTGCACTCCAGCCTAGGTGACAGAATGAGACTCCATCTCAAAAAATATATAAAACTAGAATAAAATAATAAAAAATAAAATAGTTGAAAGAGAGGATTTTAAATGTCCTCAACACAAATAAAATATTTGAGATGATGAATATCCTAATTAACCCGATTTGCTCATTCCACAATGTATAGATGTATCAAAACACCACATTGTACCCCATAAATATATACTGTATATAGTTATTTATCAATTAAAATAAAATAAAAATAGTTGAATACTAGAAACATAAAATACATAAATAAAAGTTGCTGATTTCAACATTTGATAACACGTATTAGTGTAGCCTCTGTCATTTCTCATACGGAAGCTCTAGGTGTTATGAAATCAACTTTATACAAAGCCAGCCTGTTCTCTGTTAGGGCCCTAAATAAGGGCGTAAACACAAAGGTCTCATCCCACAATGAGATGAGATCTAAACATTTGCACTTCTGCATCTCATCCGATAACCCCCTCTCATGCTAAAGCAGCACTGATTCCATTAAGGCATGACAACCACCATGATTTCCACTCAATTTTGGGCAAAAA